CCAGAGGCTTGCACACGTCCGAGTGGTGCCACATAGACAATTCGGACTCGGGGACAACCTTGGAACTTTGAGTGTTCCTGAGAAGGTAGGAATACGTCCGAGTGGGAGCCCTATTCGGATCCTCCACTCGACGTTTCAATGCTAGTTGGAGGTCCACATTGGTCGCTATGTGCCTGGAGCGACTTCCATTGAGCTTATCCCGAAGGTCCTTTGACTCTTCAGGGAGCTCAAGCGACCCAAAAGCATCTTCATTTCTGAGCCGTCCATGGGTCGGGCACCGAGGCTCCCCTTCAGTCACTCCCCCTTCGACCGCGCTCCCATTGGGGAGGGGAAGGTTCCGTGGGTTTGGTCGCTTAGGACCACCTCGATCAGTCTTCCCATTTGGGAGGCCATTTGGGAATTAGCTACCCGCATCTCGCTGCGAAACCCAGCACTTCCCACCTTCCACTTGTCTAGATGGCCGATTGGGCGAAAGGTGTTGATAGCGTCCCAGGTTCCCCTTGCTTTTCGTGGCATAGGGAGAGTCGGGGAGGCTTATCAACGACCTTGTTACGCCAACACTCCTCATTGATGGTATTCTCATAGGATGACTCCTTGTCGGAGGTCATTCCGATGATATCTTAGTGCGGAGAACTAGTTTTTGTTCTAGCTTGAAAACATCGTTCCCACAGACGGCGTCAACTATTGACGGCGAATTCTGGTCGAGTGCCACATGTCCCTCGAACGAACAGCCCGACCGAAGAACAAAGGAACCTGCAACCAAAGAACTCGATGCTGGTGCAGTGTTCCGCCTAAAACACTCCGACAATGAAGTTAGTAATCAGAATAAAAATAGGAAAAATACACCTTAATTGTGAGTGACAGGTTTTTTCACTTACTTGGTGAAGGTAAGGGTCCTTTCTTTTATAGCCTTGGACGACCGACCAGGAAGGATGACGGTTAGAGTGTCAAGGACACGCTGCACAGTACGAGGAGCATCGTGGAGCACGTTCCTGACAGCCGCGGGGTGGCACCTCCTCCTGTAGCTGAGAGCTTGTCGCCTACAGCTGCGGGGCGTGCCCGCCGTACCGGTGATGTGTGACTCTTGCTACGGTTACATACAGTGTCTAGCTGTTCGTGGTCCTTCATCCCCTAATGAGCGGGCATGTGTCCTGCTCGGCACTACTAGCTTGCGGGGGGCATCCGTATGTGGTCCTATGCTTCGTAGGCAGACACGCGTCTTGCTCGGGTTTTTACCCCCAACAGTATATATATATGTATTGACCGTCGATATCAACATACTTTAATACTTGTATTGAGTTGCATTTTGATTATTGAGTTGCATTTTGGTATATACATGTATTGACCTCTTAATACAAAGATTCTCCCTCTTAATGTAAAACGATGAGCTGGTAGACTCAAAACATACCTTTTAATTTTGATAATTCTTCAATTGGTATATACATGTAATGACCTTTTAATTTTAGTAATTGAGCTACATAGTGATATATCATGTATTTGCCCTTCTAATTTAATTAGAAAATCACACAAATGACACTAGAATCAGTGAGATGGGAGACGTTGACAAATCATTTAAATTAATTCAAATTTAAAACAAAATAATGTAATTGGTGGTAATATATTTAGGAAACAACTTAAAATCCTTGAATATAGGAAAAAAAATTGATTTCAAATCAAGTTTGTTAGATGGTTGAATATGAAGAGTAAAAAAAACATGGTCAAAGGTAAAGTTGGAAAATCACCTTATTTTTTTAATTTCTCAAATATGATTTAGCTATTTGTGCAAAATTAATAACGAATTACCATTTTTTAGAATGAGCGTTAAAATTTAGCCACCCATCAAATTGTCATTGGAAATATATATGTGGATTTGTACATGGTAATACACCAATATTATTTTATAAAATTATGACAATCATTCAAATTTTTCTAATAGTTATTTATTCACGTATTTAATCACCTTTTATTATTATTATTATTATTTAATATTTTTCTTTAAGGATCCCCAGTATAGTTTTTTCAATGAAATTTCAGAAACGTTTCTTAAGGATGAGAAACGTGAAATAAAAATAGTTATCAAAAGTTTATATTTCTCAAAAAAACAAAAAAATCGGAACGGATCCTACAAAGATTGGAAAAATATCAATTTTATACTAGAACTTCGTAAGGTATATCGATTTTCATCTTATAATTGGATAATGTTGTAAAAATTGTTGAAAAAATAATTTAACATGTCAAATGAATTAGAAAACACATATGTTTTGATATAAAAATAATTGATATGATTTAGATAAAATCGACATTAGAGTTGTTCTAAGTTTGAAACTTTTGGTTGAATTATCTGATATTAGATTTTGTGCATTAATCAAACTTAATTTAAGAAACTTGATTTCTGTTAAATTAGAAAGTTTTTGTAAAGTTTTAAACTTAATTGATGAACTAATATAAATTTAACAAAGAGATGAAATTATAACATTTATCTAGCTTTTTGGTTATAAACTTAAATTTATTAAAAGAAATACAATCACGATGTAAATTTAACTATTTGGTCAAAAAAAATTTTAAGTACTTTTTGTGAAATGAAAAGGATTAAATATATTTTGTAGAAAAAATATACTTATTATAAAAAATGCAAACGGTAGGATTC